CTAAGACTAATCTTTTGATATACATCTCGTTCTGAACGGCCACGGCCACTAAGTATCCTTCCCTTGTAAGACAAAGATTTGGCTCTCCATTGCCCAAAGGCATCAGCAGATAAGAATTACATATATGAATTCAGCTTTTTCCCGTGCGCTGCTCTGATGTACTCATTTTCTTACTTTCTCGCTCTTTTCTTAATGTCATTTTTATTCAGGATCGATGATGTCCAACGATAGAAAAAACGATAGTGACTTTCGATATGGCCTGACTTCCCTAAGCCTTAAAAACGAAGATCCAACTCACCAAAGTTTTGATCCGAAAGTTCGAAGGACTGAACCTGTTTTTCAAATGAGCGAAGCAGACTGGTCACAGTACAACAGTGCTCCAAATAGCAAGAAAAAGGATGCTAGTCTAACTATTTTCTTTGGGCAAGGTTTTCCGACAAGTTCAGAGGCTCGGAGAGGCATGGAAGGTGCTGAAAATCATCAGCGATACAGAGAAGCTAGTGATTCAGAGTGGGACTCTTATCAGCTTTCGAAGGAAGCTACTGAAGAATCCGTTCATAGAGAGCACTCCAGGGTGCAAAGCGACTTGCATAGTAGAGGTCGAACACAGTCTCCACAGGTTAGTTCTCAGTTCTCATTGCTCAAGGCCCTTGTTCATACCAAACAAATAGTAAAATTATACTAAAAAATCGAAGGCCCTGACAAATTCTATTGAGAATTTCTCTTTCGCAAAGTTTTAGTAACGATGTTCTTATATCAGTAATCAAAAAGTCATTTTCTGTATCTTGTGCTTTACCATAAAAAAAATCATCGAGAAGGTAGTGGGGACGCGCACCTTCTCCCACACCTTCCATCCGCCATACCGACTCCAGTACTGATACATATTGGGTACTTATGAACGCTGAATATGTATACAATCACTAATCAATCACTATAAGCTATCTTTGTGTTCCGATGGAAGAAAAATAAATAAACATCAGTTTTTCCATTGGCTATGCTCACTGCATAACTTTTATACCCAAATTTGATGGTTTCATTTATGGGATTTCGTTATTAACCCTGTTTCATAAACTTC